GCTGACTTAAGGACAATTTTAGCCACAATGCCAGGGCCATGCAGGAAGGGAAGGGATGACTACGCAGCTCTGCCAGCACCAGGGCTGCCAATGGAGGGAGTGCTGCTGTCCGAAGGTCATGGCAACACTCCACATTACTGATGCCATGGGGGTGTGGAGGGCACGGTGAGCCTGTCCTGGTTAAGGGGAGAGGAGTTAAAAGGGGCCCTGGGACATCCCTGTGTGGCTGGTGGGTTTCAGCCCAGCCAGCCAGCAGCCCCACGGCCCCCATCCCACCCATGCTTCTGCATGCTGGGGCACACTAGCCACCAGGTAGCTGCCTCAGGGGAGCCTCAAGCTCTGCCGGTCCCTTCCAGCCCTGAGGGGACCTGTGGCTCCCTGCCCAGGTGACCCCAGGGCTGTCTGCAGCTCAGCCACTGCCCTCACTGCCTGCTCTGCAGGCAGCGCTGGCTGGAGGCCAGGGGTGACCTCTCACCAGGTGGAAGCAAGTGCCTATGAATGGCACCGTGTCCTCAGGAGCTCGGGCTGCTGGTGTGATTGCCCTTGGCTGCCCCACTGTAGGAATGTGCCAGAGGTCTGTACCTTCTTGTGATTTATTGCTATGACTGTGCCTTGAATAAAATTACTTCACCCAGCCACTGTCTGGTATCATCCCTCCCCCCATGTCCTGTGCAGCACCAGAAGAGGGGGGACCGTGGCCACTGGAGCCCACGAAAGTACCCCAGCCCCTTCTCTCTCTGTGGGCTGCTTTTGAGCTGGTGATGTCCTGCAGGGGCTTCAAGTGGTGAGGAAGCGGCAGTGGGGACAGTGAGGGGACCCGTTCCATCTGGGGATGGAGCAGATGCTGATCATCATCCAAAGCTGAACTGCTCACCAGCAAGTTCTGGGGAAGAGGGCGAACACTATTTTGTGAGCCTTTCTCTGGGTTTTGAGCATGCAGAGACCTTTCACTCCCTTCCTCCTCCCCAAAATACACTTTTTAAACCCAAACTTCTGCTTGAATGATTTGCTTCTGATTTCAGCAGGTCCCTCCTGCTGCCCTCACCTCAGCTCCCCTGGAGTAAGTCCTACCTGGCCAGCCTGGCTTTTAGCATGGGGCAGGGGGCATGGAGAGAGCTTCCCTTTGGGTGAAAAGCTGGAAGATTTAAAATGCTGCTCCACTCATCCTGCTCCCCCACAGCAGCCCCCCCAGGATTCGCAATTAATGGTAAACAGGGCTATATGCAGGGCCTTGGTGGAGCTAGAGGGCCAAGTCCAGAGCCCTGGCTGGGGCAAGGGCTTCCTGACTCATGGCTCTCCCAGCCCTCGCACCAGGAACACTCATCCCAAGCTCATCACAACCTAACAAGGTTGTGTAAGTCCCATCGCGCTGTGCCTGCGCTGTGCCTGTGCCGTGCCAGCCCTCAGAAACCCGCTGGCCTGATGTCAGCCCGTGCAGACAGCAGTCCCTCCAGCCAGGGCCCGTGTCGCTCGGCACCTGGCGCAGCAGCAGGCAGGAGCATTCCCACCAGTATTCCCGTGGGGCAGCAGCCAAGGCAAAGGGGCCTTCTGTGGGAGCCGTGGCAAACCTTGGTGCTGGCATGGGGATTTGAAGGTGGGGATGCTGCTGGAGGGTGCTATGCTGGCCCTTCCCCGCCGTGCTGGGGTAGGGGTCCCGCTGCCAGTGAGGCTGGCATCTGTGCTCCAGGCCAGGAAGAGCTGGAAAACTTATTTAGGAAGGAACCACCAGGAGGATTTCTTTGCTTTCAGATCTCTGCTTATCTCCTTGTTCTTCACTGCCCATCACATGTGGGTGACCAGCAGCAGGTGAGATGGTGCTGTCTCAAAGAACAAAAAGCAGCATCTGAACAACAGAAAAGGGAATTTTAGACTGATCGCTTAAAACTCTAATTCTGTTAGAGATCATTACATTTGAAGGGTAATGAGCAATCAGCAGCAGGATGCCTCTGCTAGCCCCTCTGCTGCTCACCCATTCAATTACAGTGCACAAAGCTCCCAACAGACGTTAGGTGCTGGATGCCTTCTCACGCCAGGGTAGCTGGATTAGAAAAGCACTCCCAGTGACCAGTATCTGCAAAGCTAGAGGCAACAAGAAACCAGTAAAGCCCTCTCTGTCATCCTTTTTTTTTTTTTCTTTCTTTCATTCTTAGGCCTTTTATATTAAAATAAACATAAGTCAGCAAAAAGGGGCAAGACTCACTGCTGTTTATTAAACAGTTCATCTGAGTCTAAGAGGCACACAGACCAGTTTAGTTCTCTTAGCAGTTACACAAAACGTGGTAGGGAAGAGAAGTCAAGGAGCTGAGAAAGCTAGAGGGAGTGGGATGGTTTGGGGCAGTAACACCCACATCCCACCCTTTGCTGCCTACTTGTAACACAGAGACAGAAGGTCACCCTCATGATGCTGAAGTCCCAGAACAAAGGATGTCCTCATTTCCAAACCCTGCTGCCCTGTTCCATGCTGGCATAGCTGGCACCTCTGCCCAGTCCTGGCTTCTCCATCACTCACTGCCAGGTAAGAGAATGGGGAGGATGTCCCCCAGTGGAGCCATGGGTAAGGATGCATAACAACATGCTGTAGGACTGCAGGAGTGGAGTCTGATACCATGGGGAGGACAGCAAACATCCTACATGGGGATGATCACTACCTGTTCCACAGCAGCCCTCAGCTCACCTCCCAAACACACAAAGCCGAACACCACCATCAGGCCTGCAGTGAAGCAGAGCCCCATCATCCTCTCCACGGCATGGAGCTGGAAGACTGCAGCTGCAAGGAGCAGGCAGCCCTCTCCTGCCCCACGATGGATGATGTCTGAGTATAGGAAGAACATGTCACTAGAACAGGAACATCTCAGCCCTCAGCACCAGGTTCCTCCTGCCCTGAAGGAGCAGCAAAAACAAGGCACTGCCTGTAACTAAATAATTGCTCCATGTCCTTGCCCTGTGGCTAGTGGTGGCTGGAAACATGGTTCTGCCTGTCTCACAGCAACTTCCCCATAAAGATGAAGTCTTCTTCAAAGTGCTCAAGTTCAGCTCCCTGTGGGGCCCTCAGGTGCTGCCTTTCAGCCATTTCCTGGGATTTCTTCCAGCTGATGCTGTCTTCTCACTCCTATCCTGACACAGCACTGCTGCACACACCTAACTGTGTATCTCTCTCTGCTCAGAAGCAGCTGTGTCTCAAGTATCGTTGGGAGAGACAACTAATGGGTGAGGAACCTGCAGATGGGTACTGTGTGCAGCTAGGAAGCGCTCCAGGTCAGCAGAAATATTCCAGCTATGCTTCCTTTGGCCAAGAGCCAGAACGATTTCTGGAAGCTGCTGCCATGACATGATTGCAACCTTCATTTTTATTTTAAGATGTCTTTTCCTTGTATTTACTTTATTCTCCTTAACACAAGGCAGTAAAGAGCCACCGCTGCTGCTGTATTTCAGCTGACTCTGAGGTTAAACCAACCAGCCAAACCAACACAAAGTCTTTCAGCTGGCAGCTCAGGCCTGCTAAAAGCAGCTTCATCTTGAGATGAACATGACCCTACTGCTTGAAGCATCGCTAGGAAGCACATCAAGTTACAGCCAACCTGACACAAGGAAAAGCCATGGATCCCATCCAGGGCAGAAGCAGGGCAGCACCAGGATTAACCATCCAGTAGTGATGTGTTGGTGAAGGGAGAGAAAAGCTCTCCCACAGGGTTTTGGAAGGATGGCCACATGGCATGGCCAGCTACCGCTTCTGCTGCCCCTGTCCCTGGAGAGACCCAAATCTGCCATTGCCACAGCTGAACTGGGCACAGCAGGGCAGGAGGAGTGTCAGACCTGGCAGGTCTTAAGCACAGCAAATAGGATCTTGAGCAAATAAGCCTGAGAGGCCTGCGCTAGCTGCCATCTAACTAGGGTGGGTAGCAAGAGGAGGAAAGAGGAGCCAGTGAAAACAGAGTAGGTACAGAGTAGCTGGTGGTCCAGCTAGCTCAAAGGAGTTGGGGCAGGGTGCTGTACCTGTGCTGTGGCACTCCCACTTGGCTGCAGAGATGTGCCCTGCCAGCCCTTAGCACAGGCAGAGATGTGGGTGTGTCAAAGCAAGGCAGAATCACTGGGAGAGCCCCAAAGCACATGCGACTGAAGGAGACAATGGTGGGCTGGTGCACAGAGAAAGACAGAGCTGGAGAGAGGCAGAAAGAAATACCAGCATGAGCGCTTCCTCTGCCCAGGGCCACTGCATGGTTAGGGATGGGGATGGCTGGCAGGATTTAGTCCCCTTCTGGGAGGGTCTCCCAGCCACGTTGCATGGCTTTCACCACAGCACCGTAGAGTTTGCCCCAAGCCTCCTGCACGTCTGGGCTGAAGGTTGTGCCAAGGCATTTCTCCAGCATGTACAGCAAGGACTCGCCAACAGTCTGCAAACCAAACAGGGAGGTGTTAAACTCAGCACTGGGGGACAACATGCAGCCCCTTCTCTTTCTTCGCTGCCTGTTTGAACTTCTCCCTTTGTGGGGCAGCTGCTCCTCCTCCACCAGTGAGGCCAGGCCACCCCCTTTCTGGCTGTTCAGAGGGGGCCCAGAGCCAGCCCACACCATCTCCTTGCCCTGCCCTATGCTGGCCCTCACCCCAACACCCAGCCCTGGGTGAGCAAGGGCTGACACCACACATGTAACACCAGGGGAGAGGTACACATCTATCCTCTGTGGCTCCCAGATGCAGGTACCCAGCCCTGTCCCCTGGCATAGCAGCAGATCAGCAGAGCTGAGCAATGCCCTGATGCCAGGAGAGTGGGTCAGACCCCAGGCTGGATGCTCAGAGCCTGCCCTGCCACCTCTCAAGCCTCTCCACTGGGCTCTGCTCATCATGAAGCTGTGAGCAACCAAGCCCAGGAGCACCCACACACTGAGTGCAGGGCTGGTGGGGATCACTACCCCAAGCAAAGACACTGCTCCCCCTGAAAAGGACCCAAGAGACGGGGACCAAGAGGGAGCCATACATTGGCTAGAAACCTTTCCTTCAATCTGCCCTTCTCTGCCTTGTTATCCAGCATTTCTGTCCACGCTCGATGGCAGGACTGGAGTAAGCAAGGGTTTAATATGGAGGATGCTCCTGTCTTACTGCCATGGAGGAGTCAGGGGCTGAAGTGCAGCAACCCCATCCCAGTGCAGACACAGAGCCAAGTGAAAGTTCCCTTTTCCAGGTACAGTGAGTTTTGCCCAGACCCAGGGCCCAGGGCAAAGGCTGAGCCTGCAGCCCAGTGTGGCAGGAGAGACTACAATGCTCCAAACTATGGTCCTCTTCAAAGACAAGGAATGCCTTGCTTCCCTCTGCCCCTTCTGCCTGGGCTTACTAAGGGAAGGAAGAAAATGAGGGGAGCTCAAGGCTTTCTCTGATTAAGCCAACATCCCTACACAGGTATCAGCAACTAAGGGGCTGCCCTGAGCCACCAGCTTTCCCTCCAGCCAGCTGAACCCAGAAAGTGGGTGCAGAGGGCTGGGGACTGCTGAGGGCCACAGGCAGGGCTGCACAAACAAGGCTGCAGAGGGACAAGAGAGGATGCCTCACCGAGAACGAGTCGATCTTCACACCAATTGACTGGTGCTTCTTGCCAAGGTTGCAGAGATACTCTTCCAGGCAGGACAAGTTCTCCAGGTGGCTCACAGCAGCATCAATCACCAGCATCACCTGCAAGGGGCACAGAGGCAGAACAGAGTTAATAGCAAGGCTCTGCTCCCCTCTCAGAGGAACTAAGAGTCTGATACCTCTACTTCATCTTTCTCAGTCTGACCACCTCCTGGCCCAGCAGGTGCCATCTGAGCTTTCCTTTGCTCTACTGTGATCTGTGTGTCACATCAGTGAGGCATGCTATGCTGGCAGCAGCACTCACCACATCCTTCCACGGGATACTGCCAGAGGTGCCACAGAAAGCACCAGTGCCAACCACCCAGTCCCAGAGGGTGTAAACAGCCCTATAGCACAGAAGTTATGAGGTAAGATCTAACACTGATGTAGTCAAGAGTTCTCAGGGCCCTGGGACAACTGCAGGGGAGCCCTGGAAGCTGCCAGGACTTGAGTTTCCAACTAGAAGTTGCCAAGATGGTGCAATTGTGAATAATGCAACAATTCTAAGATCACCCAAGGTATTTTGAGGAGACTACATCCAAGCGACCTGGTGAGGTAAAGCACACAGCACTGTGGTCTCCTAGGACCAAGAAGAGTCAAATGGGAGCAGGACAGAGAAGGGTTAATGAGGGATTAAGGGAACAGACACCAAATTATAAGAAGAGATTATAACCAGGGCATGGTTATCCTGGCAAAGACAAGAGGTGATAGAACTGTGCTCTATAATTTCAAGAGGGAAATTATCTGCAACAAGGGCAAAGAGCTATTTCAGTTCAAGACAGTAATAGCAGAAGAAAAAAATGGACTTTGCCAATAATCAGAGGCTGGAAAATAAAAAGCTTGCAGCTCTTACAGAAGCACAGCCTTGAAACAGCCTCTTACGAGGAATAAAGATGGGCAAGAGAGGCACCAAACTGGTTTAAAGATGGAGCCAGTTTATCAAGGCATCTGCAAGTAAAGGCTGTGCTCTGCCCTGGCAGGGCTGCTCTTCAGGGCTCAGCAAAAGGTCTCTGCTGCACTGGGTGTAATCCTGTCCATGCACAAGCTCCTCCAGATGACATCAGCATTGCTCCTCTCCCTGTGTCAGGGAGAAGCAAATGTACATCACAGCACTTGCCCAGAGGCTGGCCAAGAAATGCTGTGGGCCTTCTGGTTCTGCAGCCACACCAACAGCTTCTCCACTGTGGTGGGTCCTCAGGAGCCTGGCCCACTGCCCAGCTCTGTGCCACCCCCGGTCAGCATGTGGCCAAGCTGAGCACTTCAGTCCTTGTGTGGTAAGAAATGAGCTTCCTGAGACACTTCCATGGTAGAAGAAGCAGGCCTCCAGCTGTCACAGGAGGCAATCCCCTCTCAGTTGAGGGTGTGATCAGCGTGGTGCTTCTTACCTGCCACAACCCACATCCTCATCATCGCCCCACTGCTGTAGGGGACTTTGTGCTGGCAGTAGCACCTCTACAAGCATAAGTAACCCCCTGCAGTTACCATCTTAGGAGACTTCCCAGGTGTTCCCCAGTCAGACACCCCACAGTCAAAAGCCATTGCCTAAGGCTTCCTCCATCATGGTTGCACTCCAGCCATGCTGCAGCCCCTCCCTCACCTTCCTGATGTGCTCCAGGAACTCAGGGGCAGAGAGGCACTCCTGAGGGCTGGTGAACTGCTTGCAGTTGTACTGGAAAAGGGGCAACAGATCAGGATCCAAGTCGAACAACCTGCAACAGCAAGAGAGAAACACCCATCTTCTCACTTCCTCAGCTTTATGTAGAGTCCTGCTCAACCCAGGACTACCCCATCAGCAGCACACCCACAGCTCCCTTCTGCCCCCTTCCCACCTACTGATCCCTCTCTACCTGTAAAGTACCCAGAAGTTCTGAAAAGTCTTGCTTTAGGGTAATCAAGGTTACCTACAATCAAAAATTTTCTATTTCCCTAGCCCACAGTCCCAGCTCTCAGATAGATGTTCACAGCTCCCAAGATCCAGTCCCAGCTCACTGGAGTTCTTCCCAGCCTGGTCCTTCTCCCCAAGGTCTTGGTTGTGGTCTTGGTTCTTCCCATTCTCCCGTCATGGTCTCCTTGAGCTCCAAGCCCTGCAAGCTCCAGCAGCTGACTTTCCTACTTGAGCAAGGGGAGCATGTACAAACTCAGCTGATGCCCCACTCTCCCACACTGCCACTATCTCCTGGGGTTTTTTCCCCTCTCATCCTCCCTGCCAGTGTATGCCAGGCAAACGTAGGTGTCCACAGCTGCCACCTGGGCAGGTCTAAGAGGCTGATACTGTCCTTGGGGACACAGGGAATTCAGGCAAGACAGTCTCTCTCCTACCCATCCTGCACTTTAAACTTACTGCATCCCTCATCCCTCTGCACTAAAACTTCCAAACCTTCCCGTTGCTGCTCACAGCCCTGCTCTGCAAGTTCTGGCTCCCACCTGCTGTGTCCCACCCCAGAAGCTGCGCATCAGCTCTCTGGCCATCCTCTTTAAAAGACTTTTCCTAGACGTTTCGCCCCCTTTTTCTCTTCCCATAACCGAGATACTAGCCTGCATAGGGAAGGCAAGGAGCTGGGCTTCAGCCACTCTCCCGGCACAGCATTTCCCCCGCCGCGGCCAGGGCTTTGCCAGGCTGCCAGGGACAGCCCGGAGGTCCCTTCGT